TGGGTGCACTTACATACATGTAGGTACTACAGTCATACACACACAAATAAAATATATTTTTTAAAAAAGAAAAGAAAATGAAAGACTACAGACTGGCTATGAGGTGGTGGAAGTGGTAAAGGCACTGGTTGCCAAGCATGACAGCCGGATCTAGGTCCCCAGGACCCACACGGTGGAAGACGAGAACTGACCCCTACATGTTGTCCTCTTTCACCTGTACTCAGTGGTCCCACCCTTGAACAGACAGAGACACACACACACTAAATAATAAATAAATAAGAAAAGAATGAACTAAATCCACACCTCTGAGATTTGTGCAAATATTAAGAAGTCATCAAACATTTAAAACTGACTTAATGACCTCTTCAATGCTGGTTTCTTTGCTGGTTTACCCAAATAATCATTGTTCAAAAGCCAAATTTCTGCTCAAAGGATTTCCCATTTTATTAATTTCTCATTGAAAAATCTCAATACATTGGTATTTTTATTCCTCTTTTAGAACACCATCTAGTTTTAACCCTCAAAGAACTATTCTATCTTGACAGACGACTTGGTCTTAGAAATACTATTTAGACTCAAAGTGGTTATAACTTTTTCTAAAAGCAAAGAAACAGAACGCATTTCAACAATACTTTCTAAGCCAGATGTACACACTGTTAGCCCCTGCCTCACGTAGCTGATAAGCCATTGGCAACTCCAATAAAACTGACTACTCTGTATTTTATAAACTATTATTTCTAATGACGTATTTTATGCCTTATTTAAAAACACCCTTTAATTCTGGTCTACCCTTTTCAACAAGCTAATAGTCAAAAGTATATCTCTCTAGCCCAGGCTCTCAGACACCTTCATCCCTGCCCCATCTACACATGCGTGTGCTGATTTGAGAGGGCAATCAATGACACAAACTTTGAGAATCTGCTGTGTCACTGTGTCCCATGACCATGAATACCAATAGCTGACAATATAAAACAAAATCCCATGATATTCACACAAATATTAATCTTTTGTTGAAACCCAAGGGACAAAGTTAGGCTTCTAGGTGGGCAGGAAATGTGTTCACACTTTAAACAGAATTTCCTTCTCCCAGTCATTATAGCAGTGGTGTGACAGATCTATCCCTGACTTCTGACTGGTTTCCTCAGAGCACATAAACTCTGGGCATCACACCATAAATGAAGAGTCCTGCCCCAAGATCCCGCCTCTCAATTCCTCAACATTGGAAACCCTAGGTCTAAAGTCTTACTTAAAAAACCAATTAAACTATCATCATCTTACAGTAAAAGTGATCAAGCATGAACACTCTGGATGAAACAGTTCACATGGGTAAATGTAATCACATCATTTCTGTAGCTATCTGACTTTAATTCTCCAGAAAAGTTCGAGCATATATGTTCAGTAAGGAAAAATTACAAGTCTGGTGGTCTTTATCTGAACCTTCTGCTAAGTGGAAAGCTTAGCTTTCTATCACCTGGGCTTTGGATTTCAGTTTTCATTCTGTATGTTACAATATATGCTGCCAAGTTCACTCTGGCTAAGGAACATCAGGTGATGTGCAGTTCCCCATAGATGCACAAGTATCATCTCATGCTAACAGTATGGACACACTCTTCGATAGGAACAGTCCCAGGCCTTTCCAAATTCAATCGTTTCAGTCAAGCTGAGTACAGGAGACGCTAGCATTCTCTGAGTTTCCCTAAGTATAATTACCTCCAGGATCTGATGAAAGACATTAAACCCAAGGCCTCCTGATGTCAGCAGCAGGTTCTGCTAATGACATTAAGAACAAAGGCAGACAGGAAATTTCTACTATCTCAATTTTGAAAGAAGCTAACAAAACCCTTCAGGGGACTTGATGAGCCAGTAAACAAGATCTGAAAAAAATATTACATCTATCAAGCAAGACAGGGCTGCTGTCGACAAAGCTAACAGTCTTCTGGCCTGTGTGGTTTATCTGATAGCTATTTTTAAAATTATTATTATTTTGCTTTTTTGTTTTGTTTTGGTGGTGCTGGGGACAGAACCCAGGGTTTCACGCATATTAAGGTAAGTGCTCTATCGCGGAATTAACAGAGCTACATCCTCAATCCAAATGTTTGAAAACGTATTAAAGGACTGAGTCAGAGTAGACAATATTTCTTTGAAAAACAACATCCCCATCCCTCAGATCAACTGCTAAGCCCAGCTATGAGGTGAGCGAAGATAACTGTCATTTTGACCTTGATTCACTTTAATGTGAGAGACTATTCAGAAATGGAAGGAGCAACCCCTGCTGCTGTCGACAAAGCTAACAGTCTTCTGGCCTGTGTGGTTTATCTGATAGCTATTTTTAAAATTATTATTATTTTGCTTTTTTGTTTTGTTTTGGTGGTGCTGGGGACAGAACCCAGGGTTTCACGCATATTAAGGTAAGTGCTCTATCGTGGAATTAACAGAGCTACATCCTCAATCCAAATGTTTGAAAATGTATTAAAGGACTGAGTCAGAGTAGACAATATTTCTTTGAAAAACAACACCCCCATCCCTCAGATCAACTGCTAAGCCCAGCTATGAGGTGAGCGAAGCTAACTGTCATTTTGACCTTGATTCACTTTAATGTGAGAGACTATTCAGAAATGGAAGGAGCAACCCCTTCATTCGGCTCAGCTAGCAGAGCTAATAGGCTTCTAATTAATTTCCAGAAGATTGCTGTTATAACTAACAGGTTTTAAAC